TTTTTTTTTTTTTTTGGTTACAAATCTTAATGTTGTTTTTAAGTGATTTAAACACTATTCTGCAGCTTTTGAGAAATGGTATTGTTTACTAATATCCTTTACATTTTGTACCTGTGATTCTTTCTGAATGAAATGCTGAGTAATATATTCTGGAGCTTATTTTTAATTTCTCATTTTGGCTTAGTGATAAGGAATTGTACTGTCAACACAGAGATACACAGTTCAAATCTAGGAACTGCTCCACAACAGAAAGATGGATAGCCTCCTCTGTGTGATTAACTGCTTCTGAAAACTCACTGGAAGGTTGGCTCTGGCTCGATGATAGATAACAGCAATAAGAATTCACAGTAAAATTGATTTATCCTGAGTTCTAAAGCCAACAAAATATTTTGAACATTTTTGTTTCATGGAAGCCTTTAGAAAAATCTCATGAATTCTTCCTTCCTCATATGGAGGATAAGCAAATTCTTCATCTTAACTATAGAATACAAAAGTCGTATTTATTTTACAGTGTTAGGTAAATTTAGTTTAGGGTTAAACAGATGGTTTACCATTGTATTAATTTCAATTTTTTTTCTAGGCAGAATGCCCTGAGAGAAGTATATGCTCATGCAGTTCTTGGACAACATTTTCATGTGGTTCGATATTTCTCTGCATGGGCAGAAGATGATCATATGCTAATACAGAATGAGTATTGTAATGGTAAGTAATACAATGACATGGTTCTACAGTAAATTTAAAAGCTGGAGAAAATAAACACTGTGGAAATATTTCTATTGCACTTTTTCCCACTTGTAAATTAAAAAATCAAAAGCCCAAATTCAAATACAAATAATACTTCTATGTTTAAAAATTAAAGAGAGATGGAAGGAGAATAAAAAGGGAAGGAACAGTAACTATAGATAAAAACAATTGCAGAGGATTGATAGGTAGGATCAAGATGGGAGGGTGGAGAGGGAACAGAAATTATTGAATGGGAGAGTACAGTGAAGAAGGGAGAGTACAGAGAGGTTTTTTTGATAGGATGTTGTAAGTAATGGCTTTCAGTATACAATCAATGGTAGTTATTGTTATGAAACAAAATGTATGCGAGTGAGTGATTGAAAAGCAATTTTAAAAAAAAAGTATTGAAAGCCCTGTTCCTCCTGAATACCTTGTAGCATATATTATTTATGTACCTGCTACTCAGATTGGACTTCAAGAAAGGACAAGTCTTGCATATGTGTTTTGATATCTCAGGAACCTTGCATAGTGTGGGGTACACATGGTTGGTTTTTGGCATTTTTTTTTTACATAGGTATTTTAAGATGTATTGTTGAATGAATTCTTTCTGAAACTAGCCTTCCAACTCTTTCATATTTGTGCACTGCTAGTACAGATGTTGGCTGTCGTAAAATGACAGCGACTTTCCCCTTTACTAAATTCAACCAGTCGTTCAAAGCATTTTCTAGTCTTGTCCCACTTTCATCCACCTAGTTTACCATTAGAATCACTTAAAAATCCCAGGTAAGTACATTGATTCTCTAGTTGGTCCTCCATCGTTTACCCTTTTCTCCCAAAAAGCATACTTTGTAACTCTAGCTTTTAATTTTAATAAATCCTTCTCTGGACTCCATTTATGTCCCTTCTTTTCCATTAAACTTTGACTAAAATCCCAATCTGAGTTCTGATGGTTTCAGAGGTGTGTTAATAATATATGTAGAGATCTTTGCTTTATCTGTAATGGATTTTTATTTCTGTATCTTTCCTGTGATTCTTAAGAGCAAGACACCAAAGTTTTATTTATTCTCATTTTTGTTCTTAGATAATCAAAACCAGCATATAGCTTGTCAATAAATAAAAGATTTAGGTAATAGATTCTTGTTTTCTCTATTTAAAAATATGAATGAAACCAGAAGTAAAAAATCCATTTTTAAGCCTTGACATCTCCTTTGGTTGTCATTTTTTAAGTGTTCTGTAAACTTGAAAGAACCTCACTATACAGAATTGCTGCTGGTTTGTTTCACAGAGCTCTTGAAATGTTTCTGCTCATTTCCATCTTTGTGTGTAGCTGTCTCCCATAACCTCGTGTAACCTTCGTTTTTTGTTCTTATACTTTTGAGTAAGAAACAACTCAGAGCTGATGGATTTTCAGAGGTAGTAGTTCACATGGGAGATAACTTATCTTTCTCTCGAGGAGTGGCTGGTGGATTTAAACTGCTTGGTTTTGGGTTGACAATGCAGGTCCTTATCATTAACCTATCAGGCTTAAGTTTTACATAGTTGTATTTAATGTGAAAGGCAAAATGACCATATAATGTCTTCTCCATTTTGTATTTACTAAAGCTGTTTTCTTTTGGTTGCTTAGTCCACCCTTTTACCTTTTTGGTTTGGGTTTTAACTCATTATTTTAGTAGGAGTTCAGGCATCACCAGTCTCTGATGACCTACCAAGTAGATGATTGTATAATTCAGATAATTTTTAGGTAGTTTTAAAAATTTGTCTTGAAAAAGTGATCTTGCTACCTTCTCATTTTAATGACCTTCCCCTGTAATAGAAATGACAAAAATATTTTTAAGTAGTTTGTTATGTTAATATAGTATAAGACACTGAAAGTTCCTATAAATAGAATATTTTTTACAAGTGATCTTTATATATAATATATATATGAACATAAATATAAATATGTGATTAAAAGTTATTAAAGAATATTCTAGAAAGAAAGCTTTATAAGGAAACATTAAAAAATCAAACTTTTTAAAAGTTTTTTTCTTTTTTTATTAATTTTAATGAAAATTTACAGACTTTGGATTTCCATTCATTCATTGTTGCACTTTTCTCCCTGCCCAGCCCTCCCCCCAGTACATTCTTCTCTTTGAAAAGTAAAAGAAAAGTTCGGCCATTGTTTTACAATCCCTCCCACCAAAAAATAAAACTTTTTTTACTGTCAGTTCAGCCTCATAGCAACTCTCCAAGTTTTTGAGACTCTGACTCTACAAAAAAGTGACTGCCTAGCTTTATCCTGCCAAGGAACAAGAAATTTGAATCCCTGATCTTTTGGTTAGCTGCCCCAACATGTCAGGCACTTTGTTACCACTGACCCTAATAAGGAAATGAATCTTAAAAAAAAAAAAAGTTAAAAAGTTGATATATGAGAAAAGGCAATTGCTTTGCTTATGTTTTTGCTTGTTCTTTGTTGACAACTCAGAACTGACCCTCCAGTGGGTTATTGATAAAGGTATTATTACAACACTATAGTTAAAACACCATAACATTTGGCATAATCACCCAACTATAAAAATAGTGTGTTTGATGCATTGTTCGTAACCTGTCAGCAGACCATACCAATGATGGGTTCCATTCCGGTGCCACAGAAATTCCCAGAGCACTACAGGATTTTTATTTATTTATTTATTTATTTTTTTTAGCACTACAGGATGTACCTGTTTGTCCTTTTGGCAGTCCATGAGATATTCAGTACTCCTCCAGCACTACAGTTCATTTTTTTTTTTTTTTTTTTTTTTTAGCACTACAGGATTGACAAGACTTTTGTCAATCTGATTTTATGTTTGGGAGACAAGTACAAAAATTAAAGTTAAGATGAGCATCAAAGGAGACAGAAAGTAGTGACAGAAGTAGGAATAAAACCAGGAAATTGGTTGGAAGATTAATGAAGAAAGTAAGGAACTCTGGCGAGTTAGTGGTAAAGAATTCCACTGTCAAGCTCCAGGCATACAATTTGAATCTATCAGCTGCTTCATATAGGAGAAAGATGAGCAGTCTCCTCCCGTGGAATTTATATCTTCTAAAAACTTGCTGGATGGGTCAGCTATGAGTTGATTCCAGCACCAGGGTACATAACAGTCTTCCCATCAAATGCTTATCTATGTCAGATAAGAAATCTGAGATTAGATTTTTGGATTGAGGTATGTGTATGTTGTTGGTGACCTTGTCAAAAAGAATCTCTCTGGTGTGGTGATGAAAGCCAGTGAGCAAAAGATCAGTGGGTCCACAGGTGTGGTGCAGGTCAAACGAGACTATTGTGTACCAGCTTTGGGTCCCTAGAGCCCCAAGACCTGGCCCCCCACCACCCTGGGAGAGGAGCCTGAAAGGGAGCAGAGAATCCTCTAAGGAAAGAGATGGTCCCTTTCACTTTCCTGCTGATGGAACAGACCCATTCAATTCAAGAATTTAATTGTAACAATTTACGGAGCAAATACTACCTCTGTGCCAAACCCAGTTAGGTACCAGGGTGGACAAAAAGAATAGACCCATCTGCTGCTTTTCTGAAATTGAGCCACTGGATTATGGAGCAATTGTGAAGCTTTCAGATGGCTTCAATGGAGCAGACCTAGGAAATGTCTGCAGTGAAGCAGGTATGTTTGCAATTTGTGCTGACCATGAAGTACAAGAAGACTTCATGAAAGCAGTCAGAAAAGTGGCTGATTCTAAGAAGCTAGAGTCTAAATTGGACTACAAACCTGTTTAATTTACTATAAGGTTTTTGATGGCTGCATGACAGATACCGGGTTAATGTAAAAATAAAGAAAATAATGGATGTATTGGCACTGATCTCAACAAAAGTGTATGAATAAAAATATGGGATAGCATAAAAGAAAATAGTGTATTTTTTAATAGCCCATAGAGATGAAACCGTTGATCTGAAAGGCCATTGCAGTTAATAATGTCAGCTAGAGCACATTAGAATATTCAAAGTAAAGATCAGCATAGATTTTTAGTCTGATACATGTGAGCTGATCTTAAGAAAAATTGTTCTGTTGTTATAAGCAACTGCAAGAATATTTTGATAAAAAAATGTTTTGTTGAAACACTGCAGAAAAGTTTTAGAGACAGTTAACCCCCTGACCATGATAGTGACAGTGCGCAGACTCTACCCCTCACCATGAAAAATTATTATCTTCAGATACTTTTCCACAGTTTAAGGAAAGGACTCTGTTAACAGTAATTTACACCTTTGATGATCTGATTATTCTTTATTGTGACTGAATTTCCTTACCGTTTCAAACCACTGCTCCATTTCTATCATATATTACATATTTGTGAAATGATTGATGAACAAGTTATTTTGCATTTTAATGCTTTTATCATTGGTGAAATTTCTGAATTTCTGCTTTGGATAAAGAAAGAAGGAAAAATGTTAGGGAAGGACAACATGTAATGTCTGCTCAGTGTTTTGCTCTTATTACTTGTGCTGACCTTTTAGCAATTCATAGAAGGGATTGATTCAGCCATAGTTGCTGGATCCATAAACCATATCTTTTCATATCAAACTTAATCTAAGACTTTAAGGTTGTTTTGTCTTAAGGCCTGAATTATTAGTCGTTTTTTCTCCTAGATTTTTTTTTATTAAATTTTATTAATTTTAATGAACATTTACAGAGATTTTGCGTTTCCACTCATTCATTGTTGCACTATTTTCTCCTAGTTTAAAATTTTTAAGCTTAAGCACAAGATATCCATAGGTGTTTTGTTTTGGGTTTCTTTGGTTTTTAAATTTGTATTTAAAAATATGGCATTTTTTAATTGTAAAGTTCAGATATTTCAAACTGAATTAGAAGAATTTGTTAAAATTATAATTTGCTAACATTTCCAGTAAGAACATTGATCGTGTTGTTTCAAATTAAATAGTCACCAAAAATGGATTTTCTGTTTCTACTTTTACAACAAAATGTTTTGGGGGTTTTTTAAATACATCTGACATTTTGGTCATTTGTTCTTATTCCGTTCTAGGACTTACTCCTTAATTTATTATCATTGGTCTTTTTGAATTATTACCCTTTTGTCTCTGACTTTGTTACTTCTTAGTTTTAGAGAGATTTTATTTTTCTTTTCTTCCCCTGCCAGAAAAATTCATTATGTCTGAGATAGAAGATGAACTTCATCCTTTATAAAACTTTTTAAAGCAAAAAACAAATTAGCTTATGAGTTTAGCTCTTTATAAAAGCAGATTGATATTTTCTTTCCTAGTAAGAATATGTCCCCATGCATTTCCAAAGCTGTAATTGGCAACGCATTTGCCACATCTTGGTCTCATGGAGCTGCATGTGGGTTCAAACCACTGACTTTCTGCTTGTCACTTTCTCCTGCACACATGCACACTGCTTGGTTCAAAATTGGGAAAGGTGTACGCCAGGGATGTGTCTTATCTCCATACCTTTTCAACCTGTATGCAGAGCAGATTATCTGAGAGGCTGGGCTCTATGAGGAGAAGCGTGGTGTTAAGATTGGTGGAAGATCTATCAACAATCTGCATTATGTAGATGACACAACCCTGCTTGCTGAAATCGAGGAGGACCTCATGCACTTGCTGTAGAGGGTCAGGGACTGCAGCCTTGAGTATGGACTGAGGCTCAATGTCAAGAAGACAAAGATTCTCACCACTGGACCAATTGGTAGCATCAGGATGGATGGTGAAGAGATTGAGATTGTTCACAGCTTCAATTTGCCTGTCTCCATGGTCAACACTCTTGGCACCAGCAGCCAGGAAATTAAAAAAACGTATTGCGATGGGAAAGTCTGCCTGATACAGGCCATGATCTTTGCAATCACTTGTTATGCATCAGAGAGTTGGGCATTGACTAGGAAGGATAGAAGGAGAATTGATGCCTTTGAGCTGTGGTGCTGGAAAAGAGTATTGAATGTATCCTGGACTGCCAAGAAAACAAACAGATTCATCCTAGAGAGGGTTAAATCAGGCTACTCCTTGGATGGAGGCAAGGATTCTGGGGCTTCGTCTGACATACTTTGGGCATGTTGTAAGGAGAAACAGGTCCTTGGAGAGGGACCTCATGCTTGGTAGGGTGGAGGGACAGCGCAGGAGGACCCTCTATGAGGTGGATTGATTCAGTGACTGGGGTAATTGGGATGGGTGTGTCAGAGGCAATGCGATTGGCACAGGATAGAGCAGGGTTTAGGGCTGTTGTACATAGGGTCGCTATGAGTCGCAAGCGACTCGATGGCACATATCAACAACAGTAAGAATATGCTGTAAATTAAGATTATACTAGAATAAAAGACTAAACCTGTGGTCATATATAGGTTTTGTTGCTAGTGTTGCAAAGTTAACAAAACTTTTTCCTTTTTTTTTTTTAAATTTATAAACAAACACCTTGAGGGAAAAGAATTGGTAGGCCAGGTGCTTAGGACCATAGTCTGGGGAAAGTATTCTGTATCCTTCCTTGTTGAGTAGTGACTTGGATCTTGTAAATGGCCATATAAGGTACAACTGTTACTTCTTTCCCATCTGAAGCAAAGAAAAGTAATAGACACATATAGTAACTGTAAGACTAAAGGATGAATGGACCATGCAAACTCAACTCTCTGTTACTTTGAGACCAGAAGAGCTAGATGGTGCACAACTACCACTACTGACTCATGATCCCAACAGAAGGTCTTGGATACACTGGGATAAAAATGTGGAACAAATCTCAAAATAATGAAAAAGATTAAGATTACTGACCTGATAGAGATGATGGAACCCCTGATTATGGCTTTTCAAGCCTGGAACTGAACCTCACTGCTGTGGTTCTACTTACTCTTAATCCAAAAGACAAATTTACAAGACGAATAGTACTTGCTTCTTAGGATCATCACACATAGGAGATAAAAAAGGCAACATTTATCCAGAGATAAAGGAAGGCATGAAAGGGTAGGGAAGAATTAATAGAAGCAGGAAACACAGGAAGAGGGAAGAGTACTATTGCTTTAGGGATTTGCAGTTAATGTCATGAACCAAGTGTTGAAAACTGATTTACTCTGTAAACAGTCAATCATAATTAAATCACAATTAAAAGCTTAAAAATTATAAGCTAGGGTACAACATTTTATCTGTAAAGTTTTTATAGATTGTTGTCAAGAGTGTAGGGAAACGGGTATTCTGATCCATTAATAGTGTTATTATAAATTGGAAAAGGCTTTTGGTGATAATATGTAAGGAATGCACTTATGTGTGCTTATATTATAAATACACTTGCCCTTTGATCTAGCATTTCCATGTCTCCAGATCTACAAAGTGTCTGGGAATTGACCAATGTATAAGTTTATTAGATTGCTATATATATATATATATATACACACACACACACACACACTCTCTCTCTATATTGGAAATTTAAGGATTTCTGTTAGGGGATTTGTTGATTTATTCAGTTGCATAACAGAATCTATGGAGACACAGATAAAAGGGATGATTCTTTGTATATCGGAACAGAATGAGCTATAAGATAATGGATATGTGCTATCATTTGTGTAAAAAGGAGATGGATACATAAGGCATTGACGGTATAAGGTTTATTCTAGGAAAGAGAACCACATGGGTTTTCGGAATATATGAGTAAGAGACTTTAAATTATATCTTATGCCATGTTAATTTATTACTGCTTAAAAAACAATTTTTTTATGTATAAGCAAGTTAAAGGGAGATCTATAAAATTACCTCATGATTGAATCAATCTATAGCCTTTACTAAAGATAGAAGGGGGAATATTTATTATTTAATTTTTAAAAAGACTAACTTTTTCTTTCTGTTAGGTGGAAGTCTAGCTGATGCCATAAGTGAAAACTACAGAAGCATGAGTTACTTTAAAGAAGCAGAATTGAAAGATCTCCTTTTGCAAGTTGGCAGAGGATTGAAGTATATTCATTCAATGTCTTTGGTTCACATGGACATAAAACCTAGTAAGTATTTGAGATCCTCTCTGACTTGTGGAAAATAAATTGCTTCATTAGAACATTATGAAAACATTTATACATCCTGTTAGCGCTTTTTTTAAAAATAATTTTTTATTTTTTTTTTACCTGTTAAGCTTTTTTATGGTTACCTTTAAAAGGGTTTTGGCCCACTTAATCTCTACTTACCTCTTTTCCCTGTTTTCCCCAGAAGGATTAGGTAATAAAAGAGTTTCTATTTAAAGGTGCGACAAAAACTGTTGCTTTTTTAATAGTTTTTTTTGAAATTTTTATTATTTGTGTGTGAGTGTACCATCAAATCAGATCTGACTGGTACAGGAGGAGATTGTCCCTCCTTCCCCGGCAGAGCATCTGGTAGTTTGGAACCCTGTGCCTCTGGGACTGTAGTTGCAGCTCCTTGCCACTAGGCCACCAGAGCTCCCCAAAACCTTGCTTTTTTAGGAACCAATATCAAGTGGGTTCAGACAGAGAGATTTAACTGTTCCGTGGAGTTTCACATATGTCTTAGCTGTAGAGCCATAATTACAAAATTAATGCTGGTACTGCTAACAGGGCTACTATAATATAATAAAGAGATCTGAAAGGATTTTGAAAACTTAAATGTTATACTTTTTTTTTCTTTGTATGTTTCTAGTCCATAACGGAAATGGTGAAGTATTACATGACTTGGAAAGCATGCACATGCATTAGGATTATAACTATAAAAAAAAGTTTGGGAGTTAATCAGGGCTGGAGAATAAAGGAAGATAGTGATTCCCCCCCCCTTTTACAGTTTTATCATTTTTTTATAGCTAAAAAAAGAACTGATTTTTAAAATATGAAAATATATAACTAGCTTTAGTAGATTTACCATAGTTTGGGTCAGAACATCATCAGAGTGTGCCTATTGAGAGTTTAGGGTATGAATGTAACTCAAACTCAGTGTTGGTTCCAACTCATAGCAACCCTTCTTCTGAAGGAGGAGGAGATTGCCCATCTTTCTTCCAGATAGAGCTGCTATATAATTTTAAGTTAAAAACTCAACTCAGTGCTATGGAGTCAGCGGTTGCTCTGGTGTTTTTTGTAGAGGCTATAAATTGCACAGGTCGAGATTGCCCATCTTTCTCCCAAGGAGTCACTGATAGATTTGAACAGCCACCTTTGGGTTGGCAGCACAACTTCCTACATACCAGGTCACCAGAGCCCCTTTAAAAGTAAAAACAAAAGGTTAGGTTAAGTAGAAACAACAACTTCATAAGCAGTAATAACTAGAAATTTTAAAAAATCTCATAAAATTTTGAAGCCACAAACAATCAGAGGTAAGAAAAAGCTTTGAAAATGATCACTGTGAAAACATGATATTTCTAGCGTACAAAGGAATTTACTATTAATATACTAATAATGCATCAGTATAACTACATTTTTTAAAATGAAAGTTGATCTTAGTCCTCATTTTATTGAAATAAAATGTGCAGATATTTTACTACCTGATTTTTTTTTTTAGTTAACTGTCTTATTTAGTACATCTTATCTAACAACCAGAGTACATAAAACATTTTTTTACTTAATCCACATTTCTGACAGTAGTTTGTTTAAACTACTATTTGACTCAGAACTATACATTAGAACCACTTATGTCCATTTTCCTTTTTCAGATTGCACCATTCCTCTGCTTTTTAGAAATGGCATAAACTCATTCCTTGTTGGATTTTTTTTATTCTAAATATTTGTGTCCTTGTATTTAGCTTGTTTCTTCTTTCCCTATATTTTTAATAAGTTGAGATTTATAACTAAATGGTTGATGGACTTCAAGTTAAACATTTATAAATGTGTTTATGGAGTTTAGTTACATTATTAATTGTTAGTGTGACTTACATATTTATTTATTGAACAGGTAATATCTTCATATCTAGAACCTCAATTCCAAATGCTGCTTCTGAAGAAGGAGATGAAGATGAGTGGACAACCAACAAGATTATGTTTAAAATAGGTGATCTTGGGCATGTAACAAGGATATCTAGTCCACAAGTTGAAGAGGGTGACAGTCGTTTTCTTGCAAATGAAGTTTTGCAGGAGGTAATTTTTTCTTTTGTAGTACTTTTTTTTCTCTCGTGGAAACCAGTTACCTTGCAACACTAATGGATACATCAATTAAAAGTATTAAAATTTTTAGTTAATTATTCATTGAAAAGTACTGTAAAAGTACAAACAATCAAAATTGAGTGTTTTCAAGCAAGAGTTAGTAAAGACAAAGATTAATATTTAGCAGTGGTAGAGTTGCTTTATAACTACTGGTGTAAAAGTAAAATGTCATCACTTTTTGAGACGAAAGTATTCATAGCTATTGGCATTTTAAAATCACCTTCCATTTTTAGGATTCTTTCCTACAAAAATATGTATGTAGTTACACAAACTGAATACATAATGTAAATAGTACTAGTGATAAGGTGGGATTAATAAATTCAGGATTATTCTAACACATGGTATATTCTAAAAAACATCCTATATTTCCAGCCTGCAAAACTGGTTGAGCTAATTAACATTTGTTGGGTACTTGAGATCCTATTGGAACTTTTCTATAGTCATGCAGATTACCTTAACTCTTTGTTTACGGGAAAGGAAATGCATATTTCACTGAATTAGCATTTACTTTTTGAAACTAAATCCTATTGTAGTTGTAAGCTGTTTATCAGGAGGGGAAATGCCTCTTTCCTGAATTAGCATTTACCTTTTGAAACAGTATTTTTCTTAGTCCTATGTAACTGATATCAGAGGTTGTCTGTTTACTTGTAACTGTATGTAGGCTATTCTTTTGAATGTAAAAATCCTGTTGCTTTGAACTACAATACTAGTATGTTAAGGGTAGGTTAACACGTAACTCTACTATATATAAACCTATAAACCAATAAACCACTCTTAAGACAGGGAGGCAGTTTTTGAGAGGATTTTCTCTCCTCTTGCTTTAGGTTCTGCAATCCAACTATCTATCTTAACAAGTGACGACGGAAGGTCACTTGTGTTCACTAACACTAATAAGGCAATAGTTAAGTTAAGCAGTGAAAATGTATTTCATAGTAGAGTTTTCTGTGAAAATGGGACTGGTCGGTCAGTTTATAAGCAGTCTGGTCCTTGGCTCTTATATAATGTGTATATTTGTGCTTTATTATGTATGTATGTTTGGAATTTGCCAATGTGCATATGTTTTGTATTTGCATATCAATGTCCCTAAAAGGCTAGCAGTTTTTCGGAAGAATTGAATAGGGTTTTGTTGGGGTTGTTTTTTCTTTTTTTTTTTTTAAAGTTGAATTAATGAGAAAGCAAAAGGCTTTCACTTTTAAGTATGTTTAAAAATTTCCCCAGCCCTATGGTGCATATTGGTAATTAACATAAAAATGTATATAACTGTTAGTTTGAAATCGTTTGATGGATCTTAAGTCTTGATAGATAATCTTTTAAAACATTTTAACTTGATACTATTTCTTAATCAAATTTTCATTGAAGGTTTGATTTTATTTTGACATTCTTACATTACTTTTAAAATGATATTCTTTTATTTTTATAGAATTACACTCATCTACCAAAAGCAGATATTTTTGCTCTTGCCCTTACGGTAGTATGTGCTGCTGGTGCTGAACCTCTTCCCAGAAATGGAGACCAATGGCATGAGATCAGACAAGGTCGATTACCTCGGATACCACAAGTACTTTCCCAAGAATTTACAGAATTGCTAAAAGTTATGATTCATCCAGATCCAGAGAAAAGACCTTCAGCAGCAGCACTAGTAAAGCATTCAGTCTTGCTGTCTGCATCTAGAAAGAGTGCAGAACAATTACGAATAGAATTGAATGCTGAAAAGTTCAAAAATTCACTTTTGCAGAAGTAAGTGAGGGCTGTTTTATTTTCATACTTTCTCATTCTGATTTTTTTTTTTAATAAAACTTAATTGTGATTTTAACAGAAAAGTTAGATTTTCATTCATTCATTGTTGCACATTTTACCCCCTCTAATTAATTTTTTTAAGAAAAAATAATTCATTGTTGCACAATTACCTCCCCCCTCAATCCTCCCCCTAGTCCTCTTTGCAGTGTACCTCTTTTTCTGGGCTATTGTCATTCTCTAATTTTATTGAGAGATGATACAGAATTTCTTCCAGTAAAGAATGTAGTGGGTTCCAATGTTGTGTAGTAAAGGTTAGGGCTTCTTAAAGTAGTATTTATGCTATTAAATTTGTGGTTTTTTCAAAATTTTTAATTAACTTTAAAAAATTTAAGACTAGCTTGTATTTACAAGTGATAGTTGTCCTTAAGCCTTAGGTCACAGCAAATTCCCTTTCCTGAAGCTCTTATCGTAAATGGTTTTCTTACAGTAGTCTACTCTGTTTATATTTATGAAAGGTTGAAATGTCAGATTAGACTCTCATACTTGTACTTCAAATGACTGTCCTTTGACATTTGAAAGAAGCTGGTTTCGTCCAAAGAGGAAAAAATAATTGGAGAGTATTAAATAACCATAGATCAATCACATTTCTGATTCTTTCATTTTAGTACTGCCATTTTTATTCTAACTTAATAAAATGTTCTTGAAATAGTAAAAGATTTAATTGCCACTAGTGTGACATCCACTCAGACAACAAGCTTTCTTTTCATGGTTTTAAAGATTTTTTCATTAGTGTGTTACCCTTTTTTTTTCTAGTGGAACTTTATAGAACAAAACACCACCAGTTCAGTAGTTTCTACATGTTCAATTCAGTGGCATTGATTATTACATCCTTTGAGTTGTGCACCATCTATTAAGACAAAAGTATGATGGAGTTGTATTTGAATTTTTTTTAAATTAAGGCTCAAAGTCAATACTAGAATCTTTATTATTTGTACTAGTGACAAGTATATATGTTGTTTGAATCCTAAAAGCACAAAGTAAAATAATTTCATGATTTTAAAGTTACTTGAACAGAAGGCAGCATTTTCTTAAGTATTTTTCTTTCCTCATTTTACATCTTAGCATAACAGTGTCCTGCAAAGATCTCTTCTTTTAGTCTTTTTTTGTTCTTCTGGTATTTGTGCCTGGGATTTATGCATTGCATTGAGTGCTGAGTTTTTTTTCCATTTTTTTTTTCTGAGAGAGCTCAAGGAAGCTCAGATGGCAAAGGCTGCAGCTGAGGAAAGAGCACTCTTCACTGACCGAATGGCCACAAGATCCAGCACCCAGAGTAACAGAACATCTCGTCTTATTGGAAAGAAAATGAACCGCTCTGTCAGCCTTACTACATACTGACCTATTCTTTTCCCACCTTACCCCAGAAAACTGTGATGAAAGGAAGCTAGATTGAAATCACTGCTAGAAACCAGTTTGCATTACTTTCTCAAATGGTATCCAGTAGTTTAGGACATTTCGTGAATTACAGTTGAAAGCTATACCTTGACCATTGTCAAGCTTTCTCCTAGTCCTACCAGTCTGTCTTCTGTAGATTGTCAGTCACTGTTGGATGTTACACCGGCCTTCCCAGGGTTAACCACTGTGGTGGTATGCTGCTTATAGTTTGCTGTTGCTTTGTAATAAAAGGTATCTTTCCCTGTAGTGACCTGTAAAAAGGACTCAAGGGCTTTATTACAAACATTCTCCCTTTGTCAAGGGAAATACTAAGACTCAGTACTACTCATCCTTCAATTTACCTGTGTGTCAATTTTATATTTCTTTTTTAATTGTGAATTTTACTTGTATATCCAACTGGGAGCACTTTGTAGGCATTGGATGAACCATGGAATGGTAATTCTGTGGAACTATGCCTTGTGAATTTGCTGCTATTTTAGATTTGTCTTTGCTGTAAGATTGTAGCATTAAACAATCATCGTTGTTAATAGGCTTTCTTTGGAAACAATTATGTGAAATATATAAGCTGCTCTTGATGAAAAGCAGCAATTTGCCTTTTTCCCTTGAACTTTGAAGCTAGTGCATTGGAAAAATGCACCTCTTTCCCTCCCTCCCCCCTTGAAACGCTGTATTAATGTAGTATAATTATTACTGGTTTTATAATTTTTCCTGATAATGTCCTTCCCTGACTCTCTTTAAGAATGTCTCCTCCCAAGTTTTGTACTTGATTGTATTATTACTCTGTTTTTAAACGTTTTGCTTGATTTCTCTTCAATATTTGTATATATAAACTGATACTGTATATAGCTGTTTGAAATGCCAGAATGACTTCTGACTATTCCAAGTTTTTTCATAAAATATATTTTATCTGTGATTAGCCATTTGACTAATAAATACTGGCTAACAAATGTTGCAAAAAATAGAAAATGTCTATTCTTTGTTCCTCGTTAGTTTTGGTTGAAAACATTTGCACTTGTCTGTTTGACTTGTGTTTTATTAATATTGATTGGCATATTAAAAGTCACTCTGTGCTTAAACTTAATTGTCTCAATCTTTGTGGAGCCTGTTTTTACTATTTTATCTCCAGTATCGCTGCATTATAAGATGTAGGTTATAATGTACATAAAGTGCAAAAAGCAAAGGGCAGTATTTTAGATATGTGAAACTTACACCTTTAAGTGATAGACTTGTTTAGCTTCCTCACTAAAAAAATTTATTCAGCCAAATTTTAGTGTTTTTATTTGCTATTATGAACATGTATTTCATATTTTTACTTCTCACTGCACATTGTACATCTAATTTGCTAGAAATGTGTTTAAAGTGGCTTTAAATTATTCGGTGTGAAAATAAGTATAATTTCGTCTGGGTCATTCATAGAGGAAATGTTGTGTACTTTTGAGTCAAAACCGACCCATAGCTGACCCTGTGGGCATTATCAAACAGTATCCTTGATTTTCCTTTAGCATCCGCTTATTCAAAAATGGCTAGAATGGTACATTGACAGAGAACTACCAGAATATAAGCTGGACTTAAAAAAGCTTTGGCATTAGGAATATGATGGTTGATTTTAGATGAGTCTTTTCCTTAAAGCATAGAGAAACAGAAGAATGTCTACTTGGGTTTTATTGACAATGCAAAGGCCTTTTCCTGTAGATCATAACAAATTAGGGCTAGCATTGAGAATGAGAATCTCAGAACACTTGATTGTGCTTTTGTGAAACCTTTACCTACACCAAGAAGCTGTTGAGTGAATAGCAAGGGAACACTACTGCTTAGGTCAAAATCAAGAGTGCGTCAGGGATATATCCTTTCTCCATACCTGTTCAATTTGTATCTACAATCTGGACTCGAAGAATGTACTATCAGGATTTGAGGAAGACTCATCAGTAAACCTAAATTATGCGGAAGATACAACTTTGCTTTCAAGTGATGACTTGTATCATTTGGTGCAGAAGATCAAGGACTATATGTTTTCAGTATGGGTTACATCTCAATAGCAAAAAAATATAAATCCTCACCACTGGACCAGTAAGCAGAATCATGATGCAGAAAGGATTGAAGTTGTTAACAATTTCCTCTTCCTTTGATCCACAATTAATACCCTTCCTTTGGTCCACAATTAATACCCTTGTCACTGGCAGTTAGGAAATCAAAAGACAAGTTACATTGGGGTAACCTGCTGTCTAGGACCTTCCAGAGTGCTAAAGAGCAACATCAGTCTAAAGACTAAGGTGTGCCTGGTTAAGCCATGGTCTCACTTGCTATGCATCTGAAAGCTGAACAATGACTAAGGTTGACAGAAGAAAAAAAAAATAAACCACCAATGCTTTTGAGTTGTACTAGAGAAGAGTACTGACTATCCTATGGACTGCCAAGAGAACAAACAGATCTCTCCTTGGAAGCAAAAATGGTGAAAATGCCTCACATGCTTTGGGCATGTGATCAGGAGAGAACAGTTGTTGAAGAAACAAAGCTTGAAAGAGTAGAAAGGTAGCATAAGAGGAAGACACTCAATGAGATGGACTGATCTAGTGATTGCAGCAATGGTGTCAAGTGTGTTGGACATGATGAGGTTGAGGATAGGGCAAGGTTCAGAGCTGTTCATAGGGTCCCCATGAGTCAATGGAGGGCACACAACAAATCGCATGAGAGGGGATGGCCCCATCTAGAGAGTTAAATTCTGGAGAATTTAGCTAGATTGGGATTTAAGATTCAGTATGTACATTAAAATGATAAAGTATTAGCTAATCCTGTTAAATCATTACCTGACAATTTAGGACCATCGAGTGTAGGACATTGAGCAGAAAAATTTGCATGTTTTCATAATGGGTGCTTCATAGCTTTTAACTGGAATCTATTTCTTGCAATAAACATTTCTAACAGGCTTGACATCTTAAAGCACAATTTGGAGGAACTGGTTATATATTATATATATATATTATATATATATATATAACTGGTTATATATATATAGGTGCATTAAATATAAAAGCTGTTAAGTGTGGGTAACAAATCCTCAAAAGCGGCATAGACAACAGGTAAGTTTTACACTTTTTAGTAGCATTGAAGACAAAGCTATTAAAAATAAGCTACGTGGAAATAATTTTGACAATTTCATCATTAATTTGTGTTTTTCCAGTGCACAAGCTTCAAAGAAAAGTTCAGATTTTTTTTTTTTAAACCCACTTGCCATATATTCTAAGAATAGATTCCAGGTGTTCAAAGAGAGAATTTTTAAGCCATTTAAAAGTTGATATGAGAATTAAGGTAATAACACAAGGGAATCCTTTCTATGTGGTAGACCAAAGACAGTAGTTATTGCCCATGGGCACTACAAGAGACCTACAAACAATACTAATTTTTGTTGGTGGTATTTTGTAAAGCAGTGTGATAGCTCAAAGGATAATTATGTTTCTTGGAGGTAGATCCAGGGAATTTTGTTGAGACCAGTTTTAAGGTGATTGTGATAACTACCTTGCTGTGAATGGAAACAAGGCCTTGGGGAATCAAATTAGATGGGGATACTGGCAAATGTCTGCATAACAAAGGATGAGAACACATTAGAATAAAAATAGAATGGGAGAGGAAAGCCTCAGTATTGAGGTGTTTGAAGAATTATCCAGAATACTTAAACTTTAGTTATCTCTTTGACAAATGTTTAGTATTGATAAAATTACTTATTGGAAAACTGATTTTGAAGGAGGTTTTTTAAGAAGAAAGTATTGACTTGTGTTGTTGAGGTAGTGAGAACGACACATTGCAATGGCTGCAAACTGAAATTGACCTTAATATTATTCTGCCAAGAAATCAAGAGTTTAAAAAAAAAAAAGAGTTTCAATGAACTAATGTTTTTTGAAGAGCAAGTTCTCAGCCTTAATTTTTTAACTGTTTTGGAGGTAAAGAAATAATGCCAGACAGCTGAGCTGGGTAATATTCCAAGTTACTCCTCATTCTTTAGCAACACCAGTATTCTAACAGTAATTTTCTTTTCTTTCACAAATTTATCTCCATAGAGAATTCCACTGACTATAGTCACCACTTAAATTGTTGCATCTTTTAAAGTCTATTTGTGAGAGGTTTGAAGGCCAATTAAGAATCAAAGAAGGTGGATCAATAAAGAATTTTTTCTTTTAACTAATTTTAATGAAAGTAATTACTTTGTTGCAGAAATCATGTATGAAACCTCTAAGAGTTAGGAGGAAACAGTCTCATGTAGTATTTTGAATGTATTTCTGTATATACAAAGAGCATTACTGGACTGACACTGCAGAAGCTAGAAGATTCTTCAAATTTTGTTCCATTGTTAGAATTTCTCAGAATACAGCAAAGTCAAATTTTATATATATGGAGGAGTAAGTCATCATTGAAATGTGGTCACTGGAACAGTTTTGGACTTTTTTTCTTTGTTGCAAATGGCATTATTTCCTTTTTAAAAAATTATTTTATTAGTGTGTGTGTGTGTGTGTGTGTGTGTGTGTGTGTGTGTGTGTACCGTCAAACCGGACCTGACTGGTACAGGAGGAAATTATATTGTCCCTTCTTTCCCAGCAGAGCATCTGGTGGATTTGAACCGTGCACCTCCGGGATTGCAGTGCAGCTTCTTGCCACTAGGCCACCAAAGCTCCCCCAGATGACATTATTTTCAATGCAGTTCAAAATTTTCTGGAATAAGGAAAATACCTATGATCTGTGACGATTTATCAAGATGGCATGATTACCTAAACTTAAACTAAGAAACCTCAGTTAGTCAAAGAAAACCACTTCAAAGGAACATTTATTTTATGCTCTATATGACTGTTGCATTTTATAGTTAATAAATATTGTAAAGAATTTCTATTTTGAGTTTTGATTATTATCTTTTTTTTTTAAAACCATGTTGCCTCCTTTGCAATACAAACAAAGCACAGGGCCTGGGTTGAGGTCTAGATGGGGTTTTTCACTGTGCCTCTTTATACAATCAAGGCAACGTCAAAGCCTCTGATAAGCATAATTAGGCCACAGTTTTTTTAAAAAATTGGTTTGCTTACAAAGTCCATATACATTGTGTTTCCCATTACTCTTTTTTACATTGTATTTCATAACAATCATTCTGCATTGTTTTATAAAATGAAATTTATTTTTTTTTTAAAAAAGTAAAAAAATAAAATTAATCCCATTGGTCCTTGCTATGTCTTTCCCATTTACTTCCCCCAATCTCTCCACTTACCAAACTGTGTAAACCTGTGGTTTCGCCCATACCCATTCTCAGCACACCCCTTAAGTTCCATACATGTTTTACTAGTTATCCTGTTTTTACAATAATGGTCTTATGCAATATTTGGCCTTAAGAGACTGCGTGAGTTCACTCAGCATAATGCTTTCCACCCTCTCCCAAGTTATGTAATATTTTTCAAAATTGTTGCTCCTGAGTGCTGCATAATATTCCATGTGTGAATGTACCACAATTTCTCAATCCATTCTGTTGTGGTTGAACCTTTGGGCTTTTTCATCATGATGTTCTCATGATGGTGAATAACATTGTTATGGACATTTGGTGTACAAGTCTCTATTTGTGTCTCACTTCTAATTTCTTTGGGGTATAATTGGGGAATAGCTGGGTCATATGGAGTTTCTATGTTTGACTTTTTGAGGAAACACCTATTGTCTTGCCAATTTGGTTGCACCATTTTATAATCCCACCAACAGTGTATGAGAGTTCCCACCTCTCCAGGATGCCAAGTTTTGACATTTTAATGGTATGAAATGAATTTCCAGGTCTGGAATTCCAATTTATGTAGAACCCCCATATGGGGGTTCAATGTACTATGAATTTAGAGTGATTTCCAGGATTATTCTTCCACAGGTGAGAATTTTATGGAGCCCTGTTGTTATATACAATGGAGATGGAACCAACACATAACTGACCCTCTAGCGGGTTTACAGAGGCAGTAAAATCGCACGGAAGGAGACTGTACATCTTTCTTCACGTGGAAGAGTTAGTCGATTCGAACCATGTGCATGTCATTTAGATTCACCACTAGGCTACCAGAGCTCCCCTAGGAGGCCTGG